TGAATGTCCCAGCATCACACGTTGAAGAGCATGAAACTCTTTACACACAAGCACTTCATCGCTGTGGAAGTAACGAAACATTCTAAGAGAGTGCCTCCCGTTAAAATGGATTAAAGCCGTCAACCAATGCTTATTTTTTAATCCTTCATATCCACCATGATATCTGTGCTCAGGACAGAAGACATGGCTCCTCTCCTCCAAGAGCACACAGTCTGACCACAACCACATAAACGACAGGTCCACGGTGTGCATCTGTTAGAACAGAGGTCTGTAGCAAGTGTCACTGGAACTCAGATGAGGGTAATTTTTTTTTTTGAGGAAGATTAGCTCTGAGCTAACATCTGCCACGAATCCTCCTCTTTTTGCTGAGCAAGACTGACCCTGAGCTAACATCCGTGCCCATCTTCCTCTACTTTATATGTGGGACACCTACCACAGTATGACTTCACAAGTGGTGCCATGTCCACACCCGGGATCTGAACCAACGAATCTCAGGCGGCTGAAGCGGAGGTGCAAACTTACCCGCTGTGCCACCTGGCTGGCCCCTGAGATGAGGGTAATTCTCAACCACAGCAGAAAGCAGGATGCTGGGTGGAACTGGGAAGAGACTAGTACATTGTAAAGGTGTGTACGTGTGGGGGAATGGAGGGGGAGGAGGTAGAGCAGAAGACTCCGGAAAAGACCGAGAGTATTAGAGTGGTTGTTGCAGAGTTTCATTCAGCACCAGGAACAAATTGCATGCCTATGTTGCTTTACAGTTAAGAGAATAATGCCATATACCTCCTCACCTGATGTCATACACGGGCAGATACCGTTCCCATGTGTACACCATTGGACTGAAGAAATCAGTGAGTGGTAAAATAAGAATCAAACCCAGGTATTCAGGCGCCTCAGCCCAGTGTCTTTCTGGAGCACAAGGCAGTCCCTGAGTGTAAGCTACAAGCACGCGTGGAGGAGACACTTCCGTGGGGGCAGGGCCACTGCAGACCAGCCACACGCTCTGGGCAGGAAACGGCTTTAGGGCAGTGGTTCTCAGCTCTGCCTCCACATTAGAATTATTGAAAGAGATTTTTTAAATGTCCACACCTATGCCCAACTCCAGAGATCTGGATTTCACTGGTCTGGGAGCCTGCAGTGGACTTTACAAAGCATCCCAGGTAAGTCCAGTGTGCAGCCCAGGTCAGCATCACCACCGGAGGGGTCCCTTATGGACCCGTGCTTGCTTCAGGGTCTTTATGTAAAGCCTTTGCACTTACCCAAGTCCTTATTCAGCTTAGGCAACTTAAACACTGAAATGCCAAAGGCATACAATTGTTTTGAATAACCTAGTGGCTACTCTGAATTTTATAATTTATACAAAAATAAAAGCTGCCGATGGTGAGTGCAAAATACAGAGAAAACACCCAGGCAAACAGCAGAATGTTGTCCTTGGGAGTTCGACTGCCCCAGCTACTCTGCAAAATCCTGCTCTCAGATTATTCTTGGCAGAAGTTAACCCTCAAATACTTGGTTCCAAACGGATTAGCTCAGAACTACAAATGAAAATGCAGGGACATTTCAGAAAAGAGTTATTAGGTATAATCCCACATCAGCAGCCTGAATCAGCAAAACTGAGCATCCTGCCATATAAAAAATTTTTTTAAAAAACACCCAGTATGTTGGTTGGAACTTTCCCATTAGTGGAACAGTTACAGCAACAACTCCCACCTCTATCCCCTCAAAACGTTCATGTTCACAGATGAGGTGGTTCCGCTGAGGAACTGAAGGCAGTTTAGGGGAGAGTGAGGCCCATGAAGAAAGCACATCGACTACCATCCATGCAACCGAAATGGCTTAGCAGACACCAGCTGACCACATGGAGCATCCTGGGCTGCTTTCCTGATGTGGCACTGATTCAGACACAAGACTTCTAGATACTTGTCATATTTAATCTAATGGAAAGGCACAGAACATTTTTAACCCAACAGCAGATAATTGTAATGAAATGATTCTGGCCAAGAGGGCCCATTTGTAATAATGAATTCAAATCAGATTCATAGAAACTATAATTCAGCCATAGTGAAAACCAGCTGCATTTTCCATATCATCTCTCTTCCAAGTAGGCAAAATAACTCAATATCCACATAATTATTTTTACTTTTCAAGTAGCCCTGTGAAGTAGCTGTGAGGAAGACAATATTGCCTCATTTGTATAAAATGAGTTTCATCCACGTTCGAAACTCCAGCGTGGTCTTTGGCACGTCACTTCCTGACGTCCCTCGGTGCAATCAAAGACCTAGCATGACAAACTGCCATCACAAGGAGGGAAACCAGCCTTCTCCAAGCTTAGCGATTGCCTACTAGGGCTTTGGCCTCCTATGTGACGCCATTCAAGACTCAGAAACAGGCTTGGGTTACTCTGATCCAGGGTAGCCACATTTGAAAAGACGTTTTGTGGCTGACAGGTGTGGGAATCATTCAATATTTCAATACATTCAGAACACGTGCTGCATTCAGAACACTAGATTCCCAAACACTGAATTCCCAATAGAACACCTTTAAGGAGAATAAAGAGTGACTATACTTAAGGATTACAATTTTTAAAAGCAACAAACAACACAAAATCAAACATGCTGCAGTTATCTGGGGCCGAGGCTATGGCCTTCCAGAGACGAGAAGCAAGGACTCTCCCTCTGCGGACTGACAAGTTTTCACCGAGACGGGCACACAGCTGTTAGCCAATAAACCAAAGGAGCACGGAAAACCAAAGGAGAGCGATCGGGACCCCCAAAATCTGCAGGAGATGTTTATGTTGTTTTAAGAAACATTGTGACAGCAGAGAAATCAAGACTTTAAGAAAACAGAGAATAATAAGAATTAAGTGATAAAGTCAAAAAAAGAAGAGAATGAATAATAGGCAAAAGCATATAAAACAGAGGCATCCGATAAAAATGAAAGTGGAAAGTAACAAAAGAGAAGAGAACAAGAGGTAAAAGAAGGAGCACATAAAGAGATTAAAATGTGGACAGTGTGCTGAATTTCTCTATTTCAGGGCAAATTATACAGAAGAAGAGAGGCAAAATCAACACACAACATGGGCTTACTTAAAAAACGCAGCACACACTCAGGTAACAGATAGCAGCTATACTGGCACATGGGAGGTTGGTTTTTCTTGTCCACAAAGCACAAAAAGCAACCATTCAGCTTTTCCTTTTTTAATTCCCAGCCCCTTCCCAAGCCCAGCTGCTAAACATTAGAACTGAAGATCCGGAAAAGAGGCCAGCAGCTAATAAAAAAGGTCGATCAAAGCTGGCCCTCTGCTGGTGGAATAGTCTTCGTGCATCTGGGAAAGCAGAAGGCTCGAGCGTTTAAGTTTCTGGTTTCAGTTTCAGGGCAAGAGGAGGACAGAGGATTTTGGCAAGTTCAGCGCTGAGGCTTTACTCAACACTGGGCCTCTCTGCCCCCACAGCAGATTAGAAGATAAAGAGAGGTGTGTGGCAGCGTCAAGGACCTTCCTATCTACTCACATGTACCAGTGTCTTGTTGGTTCAGGTGCATTGGATCCCCTGAGCTGCTCCAATCTTTGAGCCGACTGGGCTGCTGCAAATGTGCACCCCACAAGTTATTTCTCAGGGAGTGGGCTCCAGAAACTGCTCTGAGGCAGTGAAGTATCGTATTTCACTGTGGTCTGCGACAGGCTATGGGGGGCCCACATGGCCAGGAAGGTTTTCCCTCCTGCTCTCAGGGAGGGAGTTCCTCCTTTTCTCTCTCTCCTCCTGGGGCCCTGAGTACTAGCAGATAAGGTTGTGGGACCTGTTCTCTAGCTCAAAAGAAGACTCAGCTAAGAATCACTCAAAAGGGCAAGAACCCAACCTCAGCCCTTGGGCTTAGGAAAGACTAGCCAGTGTCCCAGGAAGCCTGTCTTTCCTTCCCCAGCCTAGATGGGAGAGTTCAGCCAGGGGAGCCAAGAGAACAGGAAAGAAACACCACCCTCACCTGTTCCTTGGAGAAGCCAGGTTTTGTGGCTGGAAAATCTGGGGCAGAATGTTTTATTTTCACCATAACCATCAGAGTCACTGACAGGGCAAACGCATTCACCCTGTGTACGTCGTGAGCCAGAGTTCAGCTGGGACGCCCCTGAATCTGTCTCCTAGGACCAGAACTGCCTCATTAAAGGGATAAAAGATGATATCTGCTGAGCTGGTGGAAAGTGGTGGCTGCATTTTTATTAAAGTCTCTGCTGCAGCAGGCCCGGTCCCCAAAGGTTCATATTCCAAGAATCTCCACCCTCTGCCTCCAGCATGTAAGCGCTTCTCTGTAACTCATTAAGGTAAAACAGAAAGCTCTCCCATTGTGCTTCTCGCGCAGCAGTGATGTCCTTGCACAAAAGCTACACGCTTCCTCTCCTGGGCCCAGGCCTGCACGGACAGAACTGCCCTCAACTGACCACAGGGGTCCCAGGAGCACCACACAGGGCTGACACAGACGGCTACATCTTGAGCAGACTCATAAAGGGCCACGGTCCAGCACTGGCAATTCCAGAGCCTGCAATTTTAGGTATTTTTCTAATGGGGGTGAGGCAGCCCACCTGGACGTTACCCTGCCTCATAACACAGCTTCTGGCCTGTGAGAGAGCCACCAAGGCACCCAGTGATCTTAAACTGACCCCTTAGCGTTTGAATTCCAGGGCTCCCACGTTCTCATGTCCGTGCCAAGGCAAAGTGAATCCAGCCATCTCAGGGCCCTAAGATTCACGGAGACCAAGCATGGACCTCAGAGTTCACTTGTAAGATCCTGAGCCAGAAAAGCCAGAGCAAATGACAAACCTGTCCAGGAGAATGGGTTTTAGCTGCCACAGTACGCAAGTGGGCACCTCTTGGGCCTCCTGCCAAAGGCCCTCTCACAGGCTCCACTCCCCCATGCAAAAGCCTTCTGTTCTCTCTCTCTTGGTCGCCCCTACCCTCATAATCAACTCCTCACATCCAAGGGGCTCAGCACCCCGCTGAAGTACAGCTCCCTACCTGAGGGTGGCGCTCTCCCCCTGCCGGACCGTCACGTTGTCCATAGCTTTGGGGAAGGTGGCATCTCCGCTGCGCACGGGCACTCCTGTGGGTACAAGGAACAGCAGCCTGAGAGACACGACCACGAGGCACTTCCATGGCAGGAACAGGTACCCACAGACCCCCATCCTCGACAGCCACAACTTCCCAGGACTCCGGCAGCGGCACGGTCCTTGTCCCCCGCCCCACACACCAGCGGGTCTCAGGAAGTGGTGTGGGGAGAGAGGAAAGGGATGGAGCAAGCCAGAAGCAGAGAGCGGGAAGAAGAAACGATTCCAGGCTCTCCGGAGTCTAATGATTCTTCCTCAAATCCTGCCTCAGCTTTCCAGCCTAGCAGAACCAGATGCCCCCTCCTGCATCCAAAAAGAGCTTTCTTGACTCTCCCCTGGGGAGGAGGGAGGCAGCCAGGAAGGGAGAGGAAGGAGGAAGGTGCAGGTATGAAGGTCACAGATTGCTCTTTCTCTGCCTCTCTCTTCAAGATGCTACTTTAAGATTCAGTTGGGCACATTCTGCAGAGGTTTGGCATCAAAAGTTTATAACCCAAAGAAGCAAGGCAAGTGTCTCTGACATAAAGGAGATGTCATAAAAAGCTGCTGCTTCAAGGAGAGGAGAAAATGTTTTATTAGATCACACATATGTATAGATATATTTATAAAGCAGCCCAAGTCTCAAATCCGGAACCCAAAGGCGGTAAAAAGTTCCACCGCAGGGACCCGCAGCCGGCTCAGCCCGAGGATCCTCCGGTGCCGTGGATGTCCTCCGCCGCAGCCCGGTTGGCGACTGGCGGCCAGCCCGGCCCGCGCTCGCCAGCCCGCGGAGCGCCGCCCGGCGCAGGCTCCGGGCGCACGGGGAGCTGGGCGGACGGCGCCCCCGCCTCCTCCGGGGACGCGGCACGGGCCGCGCGGACGCGCGGACGCCACGCTCAGCGGCCGCCCCCGGCCTCCGCGCCGCCTTCCTCCCGGGAGCAGCCCGGCCGCGCGCGGGCCCCGACCGCCGGGGTTGTCATGGCAGCGGCTCCATCACTGACCGCCACTTTCTCCGGTGCCGGCGCGAGCGGGCGGGCCGATTGCGAGCTCATCCCGACGGGCGGGCGGGCGGGCGCGGGGCGAGGGCGCCCACCTTAACCCCCGCCGCGCCCACGCGGCTTGGGGAGCCGAGCGGGGGGAGGCCCGCCCCGCAGCCCCCGGTACTCTGCCCCCGACACCCGGAGCCAGCCGAGAGAATGCTGCGCGCCTCTCAGTGGCTTCCCCTGCCTGGGGGCGAAGGGGAAGGGGGTGGGGAGTAGGGGCGGGAGGGGGAGTTCTGGGGAAAGCAGCAAATAGAAAACTGACGCTCGCACCTTCCTTCCTCGGATGCCAGAGCAGAAGTTGCCAAACCCAACCCTGGAGAACTGAACTACGTTCCCCTCTCCAGGTTCCTGGACCGGTGTGCACGTCCGCCACTGCCTCCCGTTCTCCACCTGGCCAAGCTACAGTCCTATGGCAGAGCTCTCCTGGGCCTTCGCAGAGAGAGGGAGCGTGGTTTCTGCTCTGATGACCCACCTCGGAAATACTCGTGGCCCTTGACTTTCTCTCTCTTAAACTGACGAATCTGCATTTCTTCTCCCCGCACCACATGCAAGATAGTCCCCATCCTGTTCCCTATGTATGACTCACATATCTTATTGTAAAAAAGCAGGAGCTGGGAAAAACACAGAGATCCTAAAAAGTATAGGACTGATTGTCATCAAATCCATCCATCGATGGCTCTGCGATCACAGCATGAAGTGGCACCAGAAAGGGATTGGAAAGGACCCGGTGATAGGGCCTTCTTAGAGGCCAGCCGATCAGTTTGTTTGGGCTGGGACTCATTTCTTTCAGCCCTTACCTCTGGAGCTCAGTCTGGCCTGGGTTCTGGCGGGAGGGTCTGTTTCTGCCCCCGCTGGCAGGAGCCACCCTTACTGCAGGGCTCCCACCGTTGGATCTTAGTTTAACGCTGTTTGTGTGAATTTGCTTTGCTATATTCTTTCTCAAATCCTTTTGTTAAATTAGACTGGGCTCTGAACGATTGTTACAACGAAATTTAATTCAAAAATAAGCTTTAAACTGTTGTTATTTGTGACTTTAGTTGCTAAAGGATACAAAGACTCGTCCCCTGCTCTCAGTTCCTGGGGCTGAGCACCAAGAACTGCTGCCCCATCCCCGCTCGAAGAACGGTGGCGCATTTTTAATTAGAGCAGCATACCTCAAGAAGAAAGAATACTTGTCACTAGTCGTGTCATATATGTTTTACATGTTTTAATATAGTGAAAACATCTACCAGCTCCTTTCCGGAAAGCAGATCTTAACAAAGGCAGGAGTGGTGAGGAGCCCTCACCAGTGAGCTCCCGGGGCTCGGAGGCTGAGAGGAGTAGAGATGCGGAGAGGAGAGGCTAAGGGCTCAGAGAGCAGCCAAACTAGTACTTCTTCCGGGCTCCCCCACACGCCTTCTCTTACGATTTGAGCTTGCCTTGGCCTTCTGTGTGCAGGTCGTCGTGCCTAATCCTCTAGACTGGGCGGTGCTCTGGTGCATTGCCACCAGACTGGAAAGGCTTCTTGGTGCTTTATCTGTGTAAAGCTGAGAATGTGAGACTGTGCTTATGATTTTCTTCGATTACAGAGTTTGTATCTTGAACACTGGGGGCGGGCGGGTGAGCGGGGTGGGGGTGGCGGCAGCGGGGTTGGATCAGGCTGCCGTACAAGTCACCCAGCTCCTGCCCTTTGGTTCTGGGGCGCTCAGATGACGTTCGCTGTTCTGTACCAGTTGGTCCTAGTGCTTCTCGGGAAATGCAAATAGGGGCAGTTGCTAAATGCTAAATCAGCAGCTGCTTGAAATGGGAGGAGTTATACAGAAAGAAAAGAAAGAAGGAAAGAGCATGAGATTCCAGGTGGGAGAAGAACAGCTGGGGCAAGGAAAGAAGAGAGGCAGAAAGAGGTTGAAGGGAGGCATTATGCATTCTTAATAGTAGATGATAAAGCCTGCTCTTGAGGAAGGAATAAACCAAGGATCCGTTTTTTGCAGGGCTGGCTCCCCTCCCTGTAGGTATGTGCAGTCCTAGAGAGCAGGGCTCACATCTTTCTCTTCTTTAAATTGGCTTCATGGTTCGACACGTATGGGTTAATAAATGGGCTGAACTCAAGGGTTAGTGGGTCAGGAAAGAACTGCAGAGGCCTGATCTTTGTGTTAATCTATGCCAGTGTACAGTTTTGTGAGGGAGATTTCATTCATCTGTAAGACCTTGTTAGGGACCAGTATATCCATTTATAGAATAGAAGGCCAAACCAAATTGAAGGGCAAAAGAGAAAAAGGGATGAGGTTCACAATAAACAAGAACTAAAGTAGTTTCTGTCAGGAGTTTCCTATGAAATGCTTGACTGAGTACCAGATAGAGAGACCCCCAGTTAGACCCCTCTTGGAGCATGATGACATGTATGAAGACAAATTATATGAGGACAAATTAAAGCACTGACTAAGACATTGGTTCCGAAGTTGGACTGCTCTTCAGATAGTGACTCCTGGACTTCGCAGCTGTGTGACTGATGTCTAATAATACCTAACTCACCTGTCGGATGGGGTTTGGGGGTGTCTTGATCTGTGATCTCGGTCAGCTGAAAGCCCGTGATTCTGCTGTGGAAGGTAAGAACTGGAGCATGGGCCCTGGCGTAGGCATGAATCCTGCCTCTAAACCTGACTTCTGGGTGACTTTACACAACTCCCTTAGCTTTGCTAATCCACAGTTTTCCCATCTGTAAATAGAGGCAATGATAGTAATGATCGTGTACAGTATTTGTGACTGTTAAATGAAATACTTTGTGTAATGCAATCAGCATCCTGCTTGGCACTCAGTAAGAACTCAGTAGATGTTACTTCTCCTGGCCTATAAAAAGAAGCCTGATTCCCCAATGTCACAGGTGTCTTCTCAGAAGTGGCTCTGTGAGCACATAAGCTGTCCATAGCAGGTAGGCAAATCCCCAAGTTGTCCAAAAGTTTTGTGTGTGTGTATGGGAAACAGGACAAGTCTTTCTCTGAGTTTAAAGACCCAATTTTAGAATCAGAAGTCACCTAAGGAGCAAAAGTGGTTATTAACAAGGTTTCATTTGACCATGGAGGGGCTACCTAGATGAGGATGGCTGTTGGGAATTCTGGATCTAATGGAAATATCTGAATTTATTTAATGAAATGTGTATCCAGTTGTAAAAGCAATTTCCAACTTTGTGCTATTCATAAATAAGGAAAACTTACAGCTTGTGTTTATCTGAGAGGAGATTGTGGCCAGCTGCTGGGTGTGTGCATTAGGAAGAAACATTAAGTAAGAAGGCTGTGTGTGATGCCTGTTTGCAATACAGGAACTTACCTCCGTCAGTAAGGGCCCCGTGGGGCGGAGAGACTGGGGAGGCACTGTGGCGGAACCTGAAGAAGTCAGCTCTCTCGGGGCCCTGAGGGGCCGGAAAGGTTTGCTAGCGAACAGAGAGGTAAGAATTGACTGGGCCTTTTATTTTTAGGCTCAAGGAAGTTCCAAGAAATGGAAATACATGCTGCCAGAACACAATACTTTGGATGAGACACAAGTGCTGTTCTCTGTGAAACCCAAAGCACTCCCCATCCCACAGCTGCCCACACGGTCAGTGCTAGACAGCAATGAGGAACTTCACTTCTCATTGTCTTTTTGCACTCTTGCAAACTGAGACAAATATGTCAAATGGTTTCGCTAGTCAGTTGCTGACTTGAGGCCAGAACGAGCTGAATGAGCTGAATCGTATTCTGTCCCTCTTTCTATCATAGAGCACACAACATCCTTCCTAACACGGGTCTCCTGTGCTTGGGCTAGTGGGAAGAACTGATACTGGACTGAATTAAAATCCATGCTTCGCATCCCAGCTCTGCCACTTATAAGCTCTGTGATCTTGGGCACATTGGTTATCCTTGCTGAGTTTGTATCTTTTCCCCTGTAAACAGGGGTAATAACAGCTTCCTGCCAGGGTTGCTGTGAGAATGAAGACAGGTGATACATGTGACAGCTCCTAGTACAGTGCCTGGCTCAGTGGCAGCTATCAGTGACAGTGAATATTCAACTCCTCTTCTCGTCTCTGTGCCAGAATAACTGAAATTGACCAGACAAAACCAAAGCAAACAAAACAGCAAAAATAACCCAATGGGCTAACAAAAGCAACCACCAAAAAACCCATAAAGTAAGCAAGCCAACAGAAAAACATAAGGCACACGAGATTTGCATTGTAAGAAGATACACATGAGGTGTTCCCCAAGACTGATGGAGTGACTTCTCATAGCTGGGGAACCCAGTTGCTACCCTTATGCTACTCTTGTCCATCAAACTGCTCATGTGCATGTGTGTGTGTGTAACTGTTGCTCTCCCGTTAGAACGGCAAGCTCCCCAAGAGCAGAGTGTTGGTTTGCCTCATCCCTGGCTCCTATGCCATGGACTACAGGCTGGCACAGAGTAAATACCAGCAAATATTTACTGCGTGAAGGAACTGATGTCCATTCTCCACAGTCTGTGGAAAGTCAGGGGAGCTGACAGCAGAAGATCCAACCCGAGACTCTGCTAGTAACACTCTCCTGCCCTTCCTGACCCCCAGACTCCTCAAAGGTTGGACGTCGCAAGGCATCAACTGCAGTAAAGCATCTTCTTCTAGAAAGACTGGAGACCCCTGTAAAGGGACCAATTTCCACAAGCTATACGATCAAATCAGCCTCATTACTTTATAGTCACACCTCATCTAGTTCTGTAAGTCAAATAACAAAAAACACTATATTGAGACCTATGAGCCATAAAATGTGTTTTTTAAATGCTCAGTGGGAGTTACTACAATCTTACCCCTCCCGTGTCTCAACATAGCTTCCAGTCGAAAGAGTGTGACAGGTGGAAACTGGATGCTTCCACCCAGGGAACCAGGGTGTGCAGGAGAGAGTGTCCGTCAGGGGTCAACTTGCCTAGCTTTAAATCTGGGCCTGCCGCCAAGAAGCTGGAGACCTTGGGCAGTGGAGCTGACTTCTGTGAGCCCAAGTTTCCTCATTGGTTAGTTGGCAACACTCTACTTTTTCTTTCTTTGAGGAAGTGACCAGTCATATGTGCGACACCCAGCAGAGAGCCTGGCACAGAGCAAGTGCTCAGTAAGCAGGTGCTTGAGGCAACTTCACCTGGGCCCTCTCCCCTTCCTGCTGAAATGAATCTGATCTCTCTCAGTCTCAGAGAGGAACTAGAACTTGTATTTTATACCATATGTTGGTTACTTGCAATCTTCTCTCACTTGCCGAACTTTTCTTTATATTGTTTATTTATTTTGTTGATTAATTCATTTAATCACTCTTTTTTGGGCAGGGGTTGGGACCAAGATTCATTGAATTTCTAGGCACTCTGCTGGGCCTGGGGATACAAAGAACATGATATATTACCTGCTCACAAGGAGTTTATAATCTACTAGGGCAAATAAATCAGATATTGAAGTTCAATATGATAAGATGTAAAAATAAAAATATGCAAGGATTCTATGGCATCTCAGAGTTGGACCATCTAAACTAGATTAGAGTTCTTAGAAAGCTGCTCAAAGGAGGTGACTCTCAAATTCACTGTTAAAGACCGCGTATTTAGGATTTAGGCTGCCATTTGGTGTCTGATGTTGGCAACTGAGTGGATGGTATTACTAATCACAGAGAAATAGTGAGAATAGTTGATGCTGAGTGGTGGGTGATAAATGATACGTATTGAACATAACATGCTGGTGAAAGGTCCAAGTGATGCTAATTGGCATTTGAATATTTAGGTTTTGAGCCTGAGAAAGAGACAATGTTTACAGTTACAGATTTTGGATTCATCCTTGTGTAAGTGGGAGCTGAAGCCCTGGGTACTAATGAAGCCACTCAGCAAGAGCAGGAGAGTGAAAAGAAATAAAGCACGAAGTATGAATTCTGGGCGACACAAACCTTTAAGGGGGGAGTGGAGAATTCATGAAGGATTCTGCAGAGTGGCCGGAAAAATAGAAGGAAATCAGGGATCAATAGCCTCATAGAAATCAGGGATGAGACAATAAAGAAAAGAACGGTTAACAGTGTCAGAGTGTAGAGAATTCAGGTAAGTGAAGGATGGACAATCCTGCTTTCATCAGGCACCGCGGAGGACACTGGTGGCTGGCAGAAGCAGTTTCACCGCTGGGACAGCAGCGGAAGTTAGGCGATGGTGAGCTTAGGGATGGCAGAATCCGAGGAGTGCAGAAGCAAATGTGGCCAGGCTTTGCAGCTCAGCCGTGAAAGAATGTGAAAGGGGAAAGTGCAGGCTCCAACTGGACAGACACGCGGCCCAGCGAGAGCTGAGTGTTGTGCTTTATTTTTTCATCTGCTGCATGACAGACTTGCATATTGATACATGTGTCTGAAGGTGAGAGTTCCTTGGAGGTGTCCTGCACCTGCTGGGCTAATCTCGGCATTCTGTCCACGGCTGATGGTTAATAAATGTGTGTGGGGTGAGTTGTGTCAGGTCAGAAGTGCCACCTCTGGACCCACTCAGAGACAGACCAACATTTCAAAAGTAATGA